GCTGAGATTCCAGCTGGGAGGAAAAGCAGCTGTTTAAAGTTACAGGTGAGCTGCCTTGTGAGGAGGTAGCAATATATCTCCAGCCAGAAAGAGGGCTGTTTATCTATCCACGAAGTGAAGCCAGAATTCATACAGTTTGAAATAAAGCTGAAACAACTTTATGGTTCTTGTTTTATACTGTTTGCCTTGCAATAAGTAAGAACCCGGTTGTTAGTCGATTGCTGGATCTCTTTCTGGGGGTAATAATCCCTAAAAAAAAATGCACCATTCATTTGCCAATTTCTGTGCCGCTACAAAGTCTAACAATAATATTCTCACTGCATACTCAATGCAATGGTCAAATTCATAAGGGGATTTGACACAGGCTTGAGGCGTATTAATCATGCACGACTTGCATGCAGACTGCATCAGCGCACATGTTGGTCTTATTTGGTCGGAGATCATAACAATTTGCCACAAAATATGGAAAGCTCATTTATCACTCATGAATACTTTCATGAGGGCTTGTTTCTTGAAGTAAACTACTTTTCATAAACGTTTCCCGTTTGCCCCTCTGCCAATCTCCCTTGGCACTCCCCCAGATCTTGAGACCTTTAGGCACTTCTAAGTCCATCTTTGAATTGCTTATCTATGAAATCTGTTGTGCAAATTTTAGAAATCGTTACCCACTTAATTGTATTACAAACATTTGCTACAATAAACCAAGTTGTATTTGTGTTTATAGCTATAAAAGTATCATTATAGAATTCTTAACTAATCAAGAAATATATGAAACATTTTAGATGTCCACACACAAAATATGGTAAGTGATTACTCCTAAACTGGGGTCTAAAGCACAGCTATTTTAAATGGGATTCGGGGTCAAAAAGTGCTTCCCTTCTGGTAAACCTGAAGTATATCACGCAGACCCAGCCCCAGGACAATCTGGTTGAATCCACTTTTGGAGTACAATGTACTACCAGAATGAATCCCCACTAAGAAATCCCATCTGAAGTCTCTGTTTTAGGCCCAACTATGTGTGTAAGCAGTTTGCTGCAAATAATGTCAGTTGTTGAGTATGAAACAGCTCTTATACCTGAGATTAGTTTCAGTCAAGGTTTAAGGATTGAAATACAATGCATTCATCTGATATACAGTGAGGACAAGCACTTTGTCCATTGGCTCTATAACCAAATTGACTGGTAAACTGTAGTCCAGCTCTGTAGGATCAGTCCCTTCTCCACTGACACTAGCTTGAACTGAATCAGTTGGTTCTCAGCCTCAAACAAGACCACACAAGAGCTTCTGCATAGAAGCCAAGCCTTCCTCACTCACTGATTCATACACTGTCTGCATTTTCCAAGAACAAGTGGATCAAGTACATTTCAAGCATTGGCTTAACCCAATGAGGCCACTTCATGTAATTGTAGCTAATTATTCTCTTCAAATGGTGCATTTTATTTTATATCTGGAGCATCAAAATTATAACCAAAAACTTGATTTTCAAGATAACAGTTCGTGAAGGCTAACAAAAATGTGGGCTGTTTCTTAAAGTGTCTGAGTGCTGGCTTGAGCTGCCATGTTATGTATGACAGGGTGGGCGGGGGGGAGAAATGACAGCTGAAATTCCCGTTCCCATTCCTGGACCACGTTCCCTCTTCCCTACGTAAGATAAACACTGTAAGCAGGTCGAGGCTTGCTGCTTTTTCTCAGAAGATGCCCGAATCCACAATGGTGATGCTCAGAAATCCGCAGATCAGGTTTTTAGATAATCTTCTTTCCGTACAACCCACAGGGGAAGGTGTGCATCCAGTATAAGTGACACTCACTTGTATTTTTCACACACCCATCTTCTTAACATGGACAACAGGAATCACTGGCTGGCACCATGGAAGCATGACAGCTCAAGGCAGGAATTATTCCAGTTATAGAGGGTATAATCACAATGTAGCCTTTTGAAAGATCACAAACCGATAAAATGTGAGGTTATTAGATGCTAAGTTCTGGAATGAATTTTGAATATAAATTGGCCATAGCATCAACTTTTAATTTAAGATTATCAGTAGATAAACATGCAGTGTTGGTGCCACTAAAACCAGTCTGTAAAGCACAGTTTCAACTACATTAGCAGTTGCAATTCGCACAAACAAACAAACACAGCCTTCACATAAAAATTTCAAGCATAAATGCTTATAAAGAAGATATCAAGCCAATAATCATGTATCAGGGGCAGAAGATGAGTGAAAATGTGGTCAACCTTCAGTCTTGCAGTTTATGGTTTCTTCTGAAGCACTTAATTAGATTGGGCTTGTAATCACTCCCATCCATGCCACCAAATGCAACCTGCTTCCTGACTTGGTTTTCTTCTGTTGGCTTTATTGCGCTTTCAAGGTGATTTGCCCCAGTATAAATTATTTGAAAAAAAGTGGCAAGACCTCACATCATGACAAGTTTGAGAGAGTTGTCCATCGATATGGGTGAGAGAATGGATATGGCGAGCAAGGTTCAGAGAATGGAGGGCAAGGTGGAGAAATTGAAGGAGGTGGGACAGGATTGGTTTAGATAATAATACTAATTAATAATCCTTGCATTTGATATTGCATTTTTCATGTCTTCTAGACGTCTCAAAACGCTTCACAAAATATACTGTAAAGTGAATTGATTTAGATATAGGTTAAAGTCACCTAGATGTAGCAGAAGCTACACTCAAGGAGTTACGAAGGTTTGGCAGAGTTGGTGAAAGAGTGCACTATTCATGGACTGTGGTAGGAGTAGCCTGGATGGGATTACTGGTCTTTCTTGGTTCCATACTTTCTATTCTTACACCTTTGAATATGAATAATCTAGCAAAATAATAGTACTTACTGGAAAAGGATAATCAAAATACTAATGATCTACCAGACAGAATCTTCACTGTCAGACAATCTTTATACTTACCCGATGGTCACTACCCTATTAGAATGGAACAAGAATACCATGTTATTTGATCCATCCAAGTTTTAGAGGGGAAATGGTAAAACTGGGAGAAAGCCTCAAATCCCATAACTGGAGTAGTGATCGCAAAGGCAAGGGATACGGAGCAGATACTGACTGAGACAGATTGAGCCCAATAATAGAGATCCAAGAGTCAGCAGCCACATGGAATAAATCACAGGGAAGCTGTTGTCAGAGAGGAATGTGATGAAAATTCTGATGAAAAACAGATGATCAATAAAATTATAAAGCTGGCTCACAAAGAGAGAAATAGCATTGAAACTTTTTTTTAAATACTGCAGTGAACTACACTGCACACTAACACATGCAGCAGAAGCACAAGGTCATAGCTGCAATCTTGTGTAATGCCTGCAAAATGTCTGACTGGATTGGAGCACATTTCTCGCACCTCCTTAATGTGAGACAGAAAAAGGCTGCAACTTTAATTTAATTCACTTCTCTGAATGACTTATTGATGAGCAGCAATAACATCAAAGAATGGATATTGTCCTCATTTGATAAGTGCAAACCTAGTTAGTGGAGAACACAGCAACACTCATGTACACCAACTCATTAGTACCTATTCAACTTCCCAAAGTACAATTAATCCAGTAGGACAATTTTGGGCTAAATCCCAAGTAGAGGCGAGATATTCCCATTCTTCACGTGCTCTCTCTAGAGCACTCACAAACCTGAGGCAGAACAGGGCAGTTTCTGCTGGCAAAGAGGTCTTAAGTCATCGGAAAGTTAATTTAGTTTCACTCATGGCAAAGATTGTGACAGTTAAATCCAAGGAGCTAATATATCTAACATGTAGAAATCTTGTGTATATGATTTCATAAACTGGTGATTTCCTGAATTATTTTGATTACTATATCCATAGATCTATATATCGCTATTAAAAATGCACAATTATTCCAATTTACCAATTAATACAGCTGTAGATATAAATGATGGCTGTATATAATCCAGAGACACTCTGTACATAAATGTCTAGTGGATGGAGGGGTAGAGAGGGGTTGAGTTAATGAACATGAAATAACAGTAAGTTACTATGGTCTCTAACTATACTATATAAATTACCTCCAAGAATATTAAACCCAGATGTGAATCTGTAATTACTCCAAGCTTTTCTTTCATTGCAATGTGCTTTATATCACTGTGTTCTCAATTTGCTGGCACACTCTCGCATTTCCCTTGTTAGATCCACGGTAATTTTGCTTTTATACCTAATCAAGTTCAAATGTGAAGTTTATTCAGACCTGATTATGAATCTCAGTTAATCCTGATTTTCCTGCTATCACTATTGACTACCAGAAAATTACTGCAGGTACCAGTAACATAAATGTATTCACGCAACGTGAAAATCACCTGGCGAAAATAGAGCACAAGATTAAATTTGGTGATTTTGTACAGCAATACATATACCAATCAGTTCCAATAACAAACCTCTGCTCTGACTCTACAGCAGATTTATGGCATCATGTTATAAAATAAAAATACAGATTTATGCAAGCAAATTGGGTCCAAACTATGTAAGGTGAAGGAATATGTGCTTTAAAAATAGTGTACAGGGGTAAAATTTGCAAGCTTCCTAACTTAATTACCCAAAGGTTAAAATCCACAAGTTGGTCTGAGCAGCAAAACCCTGAGTTGAGTCAATACAATTGTGATTACACAAATGAATCAAACAGAACATGGCAGTAAACATGTTAATAGTAACAATTCTTGCATTTGACCTAGTAGTTATAATATTGAGAGTATTTTGCTTTGTGAAGTATATCAAAGTACTTCACAAAGCAAAGTTTTTGGAAAATGCAGTGACTGTACGTTTGTAGGTGAACGTTTGCAAGAAAGAAACAATCAGTTGTAGGTCTTGGGAGTGTCTTTCTCAGTCACTTTTTTCGCTCTCTGTCAAGCTGTCTCCCTCCCTCTTTATGTCTTTCTGATTATTTCTCCCTCTTACTTGGGGGAATGTTAGCCAGGAATCTCAACAAGAGTAAAAATCCATGATCAGGAGATGGGTATGTATATTGAATCAACTTTACCTCATGCTGCTGGTCCTCTCTGAATGGCTGGAATCTGACTGTTGAAGTTCCGTCGTCTCCTTGCTTGTCTGCTGCTTCTCAGTGCTGTGGCAGGTGACGTAAAAGTAACGTTACACAGACGACTATGAACAATCAAAGGCCTGAAATTCCTCATGATGTTACCCTTAAAGAAATAGCTTGAAAACCCCCCGTAAGCAGAATTATGGAAGATTCTTAAATCCAGTCTCAATTTGGAAGTCAGTTTCTACAATTCCCACCAAATTATTAATTTTCTAAAAGTCTGTCATTTTCCTTGTGTTTCTGCAAGTCCACCATCTTCTACTCTTGATTAAAGAAATGGTTCTGCAGTGTGGAAGGTAGACCAGAAAGTCACAACTGCAATTGTCCACATGGGAGATCCCAATCTCAGCATGTGGTGCTCAGAGGTAGAAGGTAAGACCAGCCATCTATCTGATTACCAGGAGGAAGGGAGAGATGGTGCTTTTGATTGCTTAACTACCGCTTACAAACACAATGTCGCAACAATTTCACCAGAATAGAAATGTGCCTTTCTTTCACTGCTTTATAACAACAAACCATTTATGTAGCTTTGCCCTTCAGGCAGACGCAGATCACAACACTGCGCAATGGCAGGTTGGACAGTGAGGGAGAGGGGCAAGTGCTCATAGGTGCGGTCAAGAAAGACAAGTCTTAAGCAAGGATTTAAAGATAAATAAAAAGAGGGACTGAATACAGCTGCATACTTATTAGAACTTGTGTTTTTTTTAAATATGTATTACTCAATACATAGTTTAAGAAACGTTTTTATTTCAACCTTTTTCCAAGCAAACACTTGTGCAAGTCAGTTCATACTTTTCTAACCAATACTGTAATTTAATCCCATCCCGTTCTTCTGTTTTTCCACTTAACATGACGGCTGCTCACATTTTTCATAAAAATCTTGTTGAAATTATGGGTTAGAATGTTTACATTTTAGTCAAAGCCAAGAGTTGCAGAGCCACAGAAAGGATTCGACAAGTATGTGCAGCAGATGTTTCAGATTCATAGATGAGGGGACACCTACCTTAGCTCATCTGGCCAGAAATCGTGGCCGTTGCCATTGACGTGACAAGCTTTGTGGATAGTGATGTCGGTACTGAAAGCTTTGGCCTGAGCGTCTTGTTGACTTTTGGCAATGTAGCCGTGCTGCACCTCCCAGCGCCGGGCAGCATTATTGATCGTTTGACGCCGCTTCTCCTGAAAAAGAAACAGAAAAAAAATAACAACTAGAAAATGTTTTTGTCAAAACAACACAGCAAACAAGATCAAAATTAGAACAGTATCTCTTGGATGGTTCAAGGAAAGCTGTTAGAAAAATAAAGTCACTTATGTATATAGAAAGAATCCCATCCAGTGGTCACCACACAAGTCTTCAATACAGATCTGGTAATCTTTTTGACCGTTTCTAAGATCCTGTGTGAATGCAATAACAATAATAAACAATTGTTGCATTTGATATAATGCCAAACAGGTTGAAACATCCCAAAGTAATTGCTGTTATTGGTATATCTGTAAGTAAATGCAGCAGCCAATTTGTCCCACAACCACAAACAGCTATGACATGAATGAGAAATTTACTTGGAAAATTGCTGGCCAGGACAATGGGAGAAACTCCAAATACTGCATTGGGATCTTTAACGTCTACCTGAACAGGCAGATGGGACCTTGGTCTTCCATTCTCTGATAACCCCCGGGAGAAAAATGTATTTCCTCACTTTCCCTTTCTAGCTTATAATCTCACATCATGCCCGCGTGACCTCTAATCACCTACCATCAGTAATAGTTCCTCAGCATTCATCCTCTCAAACTGCATCATTATTTTTAACACTTCTATCCCTCAATCAGCCCTCAAGTGATTATCATCTTCCTAGGGGAGTGGGTGGGGGAAAGGAGATGAGGTAACCTGGGCCTCAATGGAGTTGAGCTGGCTCCAGGATAACGTGCTTGACAACAGAATGTCAGAATCAAGTCAACCTTCCATAGTCCAGCTCCTGACCCGGGCGAGTTTGCAGTGCTCCAGGACACTGCTGATGATGGACTAGCCAGTCGGGCTGACAGGCAGGACTTGAAGGGTAGGGATTCTTCCAACTTTGCTTCGGTTAATCCTTTAAGCCAAAGTCCTAACAGGTTGGGTGATCCTAGCAGGACAAATAGCAGGAAGTGACAGTGCTCTCAAATGACAATTTTAGCCAGTTAAACTCCAGCAGTACCCAACTTCTATGTCTCATACTTTCTAGGATTAGGTCAGGTGGGTATTTGTTTCCCCCCCACCTCCCCCAAACTGCACGGAGCAGAATATAAACCACTATATAGATCCCTCTTGGATTGGGGCCAGGCTTTTGGGTGTTGGGTGAGCAATCAATGGACCCTTCACACTCCAGCATTTTTCCTATTTGCTCTATCCAATCTATTCACCTTCAAATCCCTCCATGGTAAATGTAAATTGTATTATATTTCTTTTAGCAAAGCACAGCTTGAATCTCCACGAAAGGAGGCAGCTATAGCTCCTCAGACCGTTCATCTGAATTTTTGTTTGACACTCGAAAATTCTGCCTTTGTTCTGTCGCCATTTCTTGATTATTGTAGGAGGAAAGCTCGACGGGGTTGGATTGACCCAAAAGTGAATCGAATGGCTTTCCATGTCTAGTTTCCGAGGGGAGGTGTGCTGGTTTGGGCTAGGTCAAGTAACATTTTATGAGATGCTTCCATGGAGATATGAGAAAAAAGGCAATGGTAAAAGGGTCTTTGTCTAAGCAAGGCATGGTGTCTCTGAGCTCTAGGACTGGATACTTGTCCTGATATTATCACATTGATAGACGAGGAAGAGGCGGGTTGAAGAGGCGCTCTGTAATTATAATAACTGTGCTTTGATCTGCAACATACTGCATACATACCCCAGATGTGCAATCAGATTTTTGTTTTTTCTGGCTCCAAATATAATTATATATCACTGTCACATATTTATAGTGTACTGCATTTTAATGTATTGAGGCATTCTATCTGCAAACAATAAAAAACAATAGTTTTTTTTCTAATGTAACTTAAAATAAAATTTCAGGTTTACTTTGCACCAAATATAGGTTCCATTCCAGCTGTAACTTCAAAGTGAGAAACACCTTTCACTTTTACGGGATTCTGCATCATTTTAAGTCAGGTTAATATTTATAGACAGAAGCTGTACAGAGAGAAGAATGCAGAATACTATTTATAGAATCATTGAAATACACCATTGGAAGAGGTCATCCAGTCCATTTAAGCCTTAGCTGTTCTGAATGTGCTTTTTTCAGTCAACATTTAGAGATGCGTGGTAAAATATTTGTAACCCTTACATTTATTATAGCACCTTTCACATCAGGAGGATGCCCCAAAGCACTTCACAGGATATTGTGATATTAATAATAATAATAATAATCCTTGCATTTGATATTGCAGTGACCATGTGTTTTTGTGGGTGAACATGGCAGCCAATTTACATACAGCAATGTCTCACAAACAGCCATGAAGTGAATAACTAATTTTATTTGGATTTTCTTTCTGTTTAACATCTTTATTGGAGATCTCCTGAACCAATTTCGCTACATCTATTTGCAGTGCTTTTTTTGCATTTCAACTGAGAACTGGTAGAGAAAACAAATGAATGTGGGGAATATCAATCAGGTTATGCCAGGCAAAGGGAAGATGGGAATTTTATTGGATCACAGCTTCCTCCATCTCATTCTGAGGTCTGGTTAAGAATTCACCAACAATACCACCCTCCTTAACAACAACAACAAGAACATCCTTCTTAAAGTGTCTCTCAATACAAGGTGTGGGTGTGTGTGTGTATTGGGGCTGGGGAGAGGAAGGTGGTTAGAGTACTAAGTATAAGAAAGTTAGAAGAAAATAAATGATACAAGTATCATCATCTAGGCACTTGCGGGTAAATTATGTAGGTTACAGAGAACGAAGAGATAGAGGGGCAAGATGGGGTCAAGTTACATTCTGACACTCTCCACAATTCAATAAACCAGCCACACTGATTAATGCATTCAGGCAAACACATGATTACAGTACAGAGGAGTGACTGTCATCCAGAGAATTCTCCCTCATCAAGTGTCAAGAGAAGGGAGGAGGGAAAATCATTGCACTGCGTTTACATGGTCTATTTGGCAAATACACGTACGGAATTCAAACACATGAGGTCTAAATAAACTGCAGCATCCTGCAGTGCTCTGCTTGAATAAGCACCAAATGAGGCAAAGTTAATTGAAGAACACTAAACAGTCCAGCTTTAAAGGCAGACAAATCTTGATATATTCCATTCAATAAAATCAATAACTATTCCCAGAGTAAAATACATTTACCAGACTTCATCAGACCACATTGAATCAACAGTAACTGTACACGACTCGACTCGCACAGATCAGATAGCAGGCTCTCTGTGTTAGTGCCTGCCAGGAAACCAGCTTCTCTACAGCCTGTGCCATGCATTGAGATATCTACCATGTCAATCTGACCATTCAAGGAATCCACTATCTTTTGAAGTAACTGACATGTGCAGACAAAGTAAAGAGATTATAATTCAAACAGACTAGCACATGGCAACTCTCCCAGACAGCCATCTGCACTCCTGGACAGGAAGAAATTCCCAGTTGTACAGAACAGGATATTTTGTTTTCAAATCTTCCCTACTTGCAAATAAACTTTAGATCTTCTGCTGATCTAAATAATGCTCCACACAGAGAGTGAGCAAAAGTAATAATGAGCATCAGTAACAGCAGTTAGTACTGAAGGATAGAAAATATTCGAAGAGAAAATTTAATAATGGATATATGCCAAGATATACCCTTATATTTGTGGAATACCAGTTAGCAAATCTCCTTACACTTAGCAAAAACAATATGCCCAGCACCTTCAAAGTAGGATAAGATCTTCAAAGGGCATGGTCAAAGTAGTAAAATCGCTGCATTTAATATAGCAACTTTCACATAGAAAGTTGTCTCAAAATGCTTCACAGGATTTACTGTAAAGTGTAATGACTGTATACTGTAGGCAAATGTGGCAACCAATCTGTCCACTGGAATTCCCCACAAACAACCATGCAATAAACGACCAACTGTATCTTGGCCAAGACATCGAGACAAACTCTTCTGTTTGTGAATAGTGCCATGGGGAATTTAACGTTCACCTGAAAAGGCAGGACTTTGGTTCAATATCTCATCCAAAAGACAGCTCTTCCAACAATGCTGCACACCCCCAGCACTGCATTGGACTGTCAGCCTAGACAAAGTGAGTTCAAACCTTTTTTAGATTTTTAGAAGGGTTTTGCAAGTTGGTGCTGGCAGCGTTAATGTCAGTAGTGTGTGTTGTAAGTGTTGACCAACCCCGGCTGAATAAGACTACAAACTGTTATTGAGATGGAATATTTCCAAATGATTTCTTTGATCTGAACACAGACACAGATTAACCTGGTTCTTCAGACAGAACATTAGGCAATCAGCTGGAAACATTAGTACCAACTGCTACAATTTTGTCTATTACTTTCATTACCATTCACTGCACACTGCCTGTTCCATATCCATTTACTGGCAACTAAAGCAATTTGTGTTTAAAATTTACCAGCCGTGAGAGGTGAGGGGCTGACTGCAAGGGGAACGCCGCAAGAGGCAACACCTATTTCCATAACAATACTTCAAACAAGACACAGACATTTTAAACTGTTGAGTTACATGATTCGTGCTCTACACTAGAAGGAACATCACCTAGTTCTGCTTCTGCATCTCACTTTCTTAGAATGTACAAATGGGAGGCTAGGAGCCACTCACTCTTCCTGCGTTTAACAAACACCAATAGACAAAGAAGACAAATTTAAATTTAGAAATATTTAGTTTGCTAATTTCACTTTTTTCCAAAAGCATGTCTGTTCAAGCCAGTCTGTTCCAACAGATGACTTTGCACATTATAGCTTTTCTCCACAACACTCCTATCAAACAGCAGAACCCGGTCGGTGTCCATTGTGGAAGCACGGACTCTCAGAAATTACCTTCAGAATAGCCTGCTTGTGGATTTCCCGCTTTTTCTCTTCTTCCTTTCTGGCCATGACAGATGCCACTCGCCTTTCTTCCTCCTTCCCAGAAATAAAAAGAGTTAATAAAATGGAAAATTGTGCATTTTCACAGATATCAATCAGCAGTTTCCATCTATCCTGATTTGCTCCTTTCAATATCTGAAAGGCCTCACAACATCACAGGATCAGTGCTTATGACAGTAGTTCGCATTGCAGTAGCAGTTCCTCAGGATCAAGCCCTCCAGCTCCACCCCTGGTGCCAGTGAAAGCTTGTATGCTGAGGCAACAAATTACAAATTACGGTATGCCAAGATGGATGCAAAGTGCTCCAGGCACAAGCCTTGAGATTCATAAATCATAAATTCTTTGAAAACGAAATGATAGATGCTTGAAGAGGAATTTTAAAAGGTATGAGGTGGAAGCAGAAGACTGAGGTAACTGTTGGTCACTCACGTGGGAACAACCAACTAGCACAGAATTGGAGTCGCTGGGAATACCCAGCAGGTCAGGCAGCATCTATAGAGGAAGGAAAGTGAGTCAACGTTTCAAGTCCATGACCCTTCGCCAGTTCTGACGAAGGGTCATGGACCCGAAATGTTGACTCACTTTCCTTTCTCCATAGATGCTGCCTGACCTGCTGAATGTTCCCAGCGACTTCTGTTTTTGTTTCAGATTTCCAGCATCTGGAGTATTTTGTGTTATGACCAGCACAGAATTGATGGGCCAAATGGCATGTTTCGGATCTGGGACTACTGAAAAGGGCGCAAGGGGAGATTCCAATGAACTCGAATAATCAACATTGCAAATAGAACGAATGTTCTCTCACTACTCATGCTCCCTCCAAACACAATCCACGTACAATTGTGATTTGAAGACACAAAAACAATATTAATTGAAAGTGATTTTTCTGTGGAATTATATTCAATATTCATCCCATACTGTAAGACTGGGCCATGGCTACTTTCCAACAGAGCTAGTCAGCTGAACAGCAATACAGTACGGCTGGGACTGTCCAACCAGCTGCGGTAATCTGCTTCAATAGTCAGTAAAACTTCAATTTTAACATCAGAACATGCAGGAATTTAAGAAGAGGAAAAAGCCATTCGACCCAATGAACCCAATAAGCCACAGACTGTTCTATGGCACTAACCGCTATTACTTTCCTAATCCTTTTTCTCTCCCATCTTGCCATAATAATTAATATTTATACATCCCAAGTATCTCTTTCTTGAATCCCTCAATCAATTTCTCACCTATTTCTTTTCTGAGGCAGTGAATTCCAAAATCGTATCACTCTCAGTCCTAATCTCCTCTAAATGTTAAGGTCATGATCATGTTTCAGCTCTTTGAGCTTCCAGTGGACAATGACGAATGATCACTTCTGAGATACATTCACCAGCAAAGGTTCATTGTGATTATGAAAATCATCTCTGTTAGCTTAGCTCTGTACATTATCCACTACTGGCCTATGATTGAGGATTTCTCAAACACATTTTTGATGGTAACTTCAAACATAAACATGAAAAGGTTTCAGATCCCCTTGATCCTTTTTTTTTATTGCTTCTACGAAACATATGAGTGAAAACCAACAAAGTGCAACATTAAGCCTGAGAACATTCAGTGTAGAGTGCAACTGTCTTCTGATGGAAGATTATTGAACTTCAACTAATAATGAACTTGAATCATTTACAATTTAGTAACAAAATCCTGCCGATTATCAGCTTTTTGAACTCCAATTGCAAATCTCACCAAATTATCTGATGATAGGTCTAATAAAGAAGATGGTGAACAAAAGGAAAAGTAGAGGATGAGCAGAGAACAGGACGAGTTTAACCAAACGTGTCTAGAATATGAAGCAGTATGCTACAGCCCAAGACCTAATTTGACATCTGCCAGGGGATAAAGAGCCTGAGGAAAGAACATTCCACTGCACACAAGCTTTTTAAGACTTACATATTTATTTTTAAATAAGCTATGCATAGAAAGCAACAAAGGAAGTAGTGACACCATTCAAACAAGTAAAACAAAGTATTACACAATTAAACAGAGTAATCTCTATCTAAACTGGACTTTTGAGTTAGAAATCATTCAATGGTTTTAGAAGCTTAACATTGAGATATCAGTTACAGCCAGCTCAGCACATCCTCACTATCAGAGTGAAATCTAGTCTTTCAGACCTGTTTTGAACAATTGTCCATGTAAATTCAAAAGGCTAACATAATGGGACATGAAAGATAAGAATTTGAGGTAAAATGTTTTTTTGTTAATATAAATAATCTGAGAAGTGTAGCCTTGATGCCTGCGCTGAAGAAAGACTCAATGTAAAGTGTAGGGATTATTGCAGCACTTCAATAACACCACCAGTGAACTGAACAAAACCCTATCTATAAGCCAGATATCTAATACTGGAAGATTGATGTCTGTAAAAGGCAATAGATTTACGGCTAAGGATTAGTACAATAGACTACCTCACAGAGAAAATACAGGAAAGAGAAGCTGGAGCAAAAGGCTTTCTTTAAATTAATTCAACAAAATGAAACTTCACCTCCCAGAGATTAACATGATGGGTACTAACACGCAGCTATAAATTATCAAATATGTAATCTTTGTGAGATAATACCACAATTCATTCATGAAATTATACACCCACCCACAGGATTCTCCATTTCCAGTGAAGCGTATTTTAATAGAAAGCTTGAATTAACTTACACACTTTACTTTGCAGCTTACTCAGAGATAAAAAAAATTAACCTCCAGCAAACAAACCAAATCACCACTGAATCACTTAGAAACAGAAAACATTCCATACAACTTACTGGTGCAACCAGTTACAGCACTTAACTTAAAGGAAAGTCCCGTCTGTGTGTTCAATGTTAAAGATCCTACATTTGAAAAAAAAGGCAATTTCTTCTTCTTGTGCCAACAATCCTCAAGAATAACTTGGCATTCATCTTATTATTGCTGCTTGCTGTGTTCAAAACAGCCAATTACATCCCCAAAACACTACATACGACAACAATTATAGTGAACATTACTATATGTTCTATAAGATGCAGTTATTTCTCCATACAGTGGTAACATATCAAGCATTCAGTTGGTACCATAAAGCAAGAAAGAATATTAGAATGTTTTAGCACAAAAACAAACCATTCAGCTCATCGGTCAAAGTTTGCGATTTCTCCACACAAACCACTTAAACTAATCTCACCTCACATCAAGAACACACATATGAAGAAACTAACCGTAACTGTTTTCAATTTTTTCTGGCAAGGTGGCATGCAGAGACATTGCTAGCTTCTGTCATCAAATTATGTAGTTTGACAAGAATTAATATTGTGGAAACAAAATTCTTAACCTTCCAAGAAGACATATAACTACTGTAGTTAATGGAATTTCTACGACAGCATCTTGCACACTGGTGCCTCCAGTATACGAATAATTGATCAAACAGAAGTATCTCAAATTTAGTGAGAGTGCTGCTTTAGATTCTCTAATCTGTTTTATTTGAAGGCAGTAGGAGACACTATCCTAGCCTCACAGGGACTAGAACTTTGGAATTCCAGAAATAACAAATATGCAGCTGTCTGTTCGGGGACTACCAAGAAATCCCAAAGTAATTGCCACTCAAGGCGCACACCCTGCTGCGTCCCAACACATTAACACAACCATGTAATAAATTCAAGAAAAATAAGGGAGAGGTCATGATATTTCCAAAAGAACACATCAACCAGGAAAATGCGAGTTAAAGCATGAAGAAATGACCTTGTTACAAGTTACTTAAGTATAAAAGCAAATGGAGAGAGCCCTGTGGTTAACAACAACTTGCATTTATATAGCTCCCTTCATGCAGGGCAGCGTCTCAGAGCGTTTGATTAAATCACACTTCCTCCTATTTTAAAACTAACACTTTCTTTTCAGAGCCTATCGCTGTCTCTGCAATCTCAATTGTATCACGGATACAAGAAAGAGTAGCAATGGAGTGATGGCCTTGGCAGAAGAAACCACTCAGATCAATTGGTTGAATTATTAATAATTATAATAATATTCCTTGCATTTGATGGAGTGCCATTCATGTCAGGAGAGCAACTCAAAGCACTTCATAGGATACCTGTAAATTCTAGCAACTATACATTTTGCAACCATTGCTGATGATGAAAACAATTCTCCTTCATGCCAAATTGAACTGAAGTGAAATGTTTGATGACGTCTGGATGTATAGATCAGAATAATTAATGTTTGAGCAGAAAGGCTAACTGTTGTTTTTTTTTCCATTCTTGAGTAAGCGAGTAATTAAAAGTTTGAACCCTTGGTGCACGAAGAACATAAGAAAGAAGCACTCGCTCACCTTGGAAAATGACAACAAATTACATCAAATATTTTGAGCAGCAAATGCTCCCGCGCCCTTACCACACCCTATCAGAGAAAAATCCTCCAGCCCCTTTCTCCTACTCACTCAATGGAGGAGCCAACTGCACATCCTTATGCCCTGCTTTACCAACAGCTAAGCTTCGCTCACTGTGCCGCAACTCTCAAATTTCCTCCCATTATCCCTCAGCCTCATGGCTTCTCTCCTCTCGCCATTTTCCAGAACATTTCTGAAAACCTATTTCCTCAACATGCTTTCAGTCACCTTGTTTCTACCCCCGCCCCTTTTTTCCACTTAGTCATTCCACACTTTTCCTGTAAATCCTTTGAGGCATTTTGCTACATGAAAGGTGCAAATTAAGTGCAAGTCGTTTTGTAAAGTTAGCTTCAACGTGATCTAATTTTCATGGGTAGTGCCTGGAATACTACCTGGCTCACAGAATGACATGGAGAACACAAGGCTGCCTCCAATCAACTGGACTTTTCCATTTTTTTTCAAATCAGATTGTTACTCAGGAAACAAACTGACAAAAATATGAAAAAATATAGATGGTTGCCAGGTGCTGAGAAAAATCATACTTGCCTCATCACTGACTCAGCCCAACCCACTTAATCTCCTAAGGGAAGCAATAAAACATTAGTAAATAAATGTGCAAGACGCTAAAGAGCCCAACCCCTGAGGGGAATCAAGAACA